TCACGCATATTAAGTAAGTTTGAGCCAGCCAATCAAACCATGGGATGCCTCGTTAATGTCTCGAGGTTAGGTACAAAACAAGGTGACTGGTTGTAGCAGGCCATCTTTTTTCTTGGTTTATAATATTCTTGTGCTATTCCGAAAAGTATGGACTCTTGCTCTGATGATGTCTGTCACAGTACATACGAAAGCCTAGCACAGGTTTATCGGTGTCACATGACGGTGAGCCAAGGTCTTCTTTGTACAGTCCAGCAGTCTTCACTCCGCGCTAATCTTTTTAATTCTGATGAGATGATTTTAAGAATTCTTTCAAACCAAATTTTCCTTTGAAGTGAAAATGGAAAGCAATTACTAACTATGGGGTAATAAGACAGCGCATGAACTAGTCAATCCGCCCATATGATGATGAGTCCAACTGTTTAGAGGGAGGCAACATATCCTCTGTCCCTCTTGAATCCGAAACTACGGGTTTTATAAAAAAGGTTAAATTTTTCCATACATAACAAAGGAGTTGAGTGACTGTAGTAATGGACAGAAAATATTATATAAAAATGGAAAGTTTTCTAGGTGACCGGAAAACGTATCATGTACTGAGAAGGGATTCATTTATAAAGACCAACATGTTACTAAAGAGTATGCTAAAATGCATAGAAGCTGAGAAGTCGATAGGTCATTAGTGAATTCTTTAATTATGATAGAAGCAAGACCACCGATAGCCCGTGGACTATTTAAGCTACACAAATAAGGAAAACCGTCCACACTAATAGTCAACAATAGACAGTGAACGACATACCGGCAAGCGAAATTTAAATAATTTAAGCCCAAAAATCTGATTCGAACTTTTCCCAATGGATCTAAAACATTGGATTGGCAGACGGAATTTTTTGTTAGTTTTGACATATAATTAATTTGCAGAAATATTCCTCAAAATCGGCAGAAAGGTAAATATAAAATAAAATCCAAGAATCGAAGACAGTCTATAGATTAGCTTAACAATTTTAAGGACAGACAGAATTAGACAAAAATTTGCACATTGCTTAAGCAAACTCGGAGGAACTGAAGGAAAAGGAAGATCAGCAAAAAGTAGGCGACTAGATCGAGTAACCTTATTGAGCATGAAGAACCAGAATCGCATTAAAGAGATTATCAATGGTCAAGAGAGGACGTCTGTCTTATGCTCAATCAAAATAAATTGACAACTAAGGCATATGGGGCGGGCACTAGGGACTAGGGACTAGGAAAGTTAAAGACCTTGCATTATGGATAAAAGCGCCAGTGATAATGCAGAGATCAGATCTAGTTGGCTCAGTACATGAGTTTGATCAGACGTAGCCTGTGATGTAAAACATACACTATCAGATTTACCCGGTACACAGACCGAATTATAATAAGTTAAACTTAAGTGTTAAGTTAGTCTTTTATACAGATTAAGAATTCGGGTCCTGGGGACTTTTTACCTCGTTAATTTTCTTCCATTATTTTTATACTTAAGTGTTCATCTTTATTTTCAACTTGGATTTTTTTCTGTATTGAATTTTCCTATCTCAATTTTCGCTAGCTTGCTCCCCAGGTCTGCCAGACTATCGCACAGCTCTATGAATTCCGCACGCATCTGCAGCAGAAGTGGGAGGCCGGACGTCGAGGCCTCGAACAGGTCTACCAGTTACGGCTTTTCGAAGAGGACGCTAGCCGAATGGCGACTTGGCTTGATCAACAGCGACAACTATTTCTTGCAGAGCACTTGGACATAGGCGAGACTGCAGCCCAGGTCATCGCATCCATCTTTTTCAGTTTTTGCAAACCTATTCATATCTCCTTAGCTTTTTTGCTTTATATTTATATTTTATTACCTAGTTTTATCAAAGAATTTGGAATCGGGCTTTTTTATGAATCCGTTTGATATGTTATAGGATAAACAATGCTAACATTAATATAATGAGCATCTAAAATAAAATTCTCATTGGTGAGACTTGTTAATTTTTACTGCTTTGCTCATTACTTACTTTAATACAAGAGAGAGACTAATATGGGCCCTTCAACAATCAACGGCCTTATGCGGAAAGATCTTATTAATGCGACAAATTTTTTTTTAATATCTAAGCATCCCTGTGACAACTTTTATTTCGTATATGACTTACCCTTATGAAACTTAGGATTCGTCTCATATGGAGTATTTTTACTTAGCTTTTCTCTATTTGATGCATATTTAGATATTTCTTAGTAAACTAATTTACCCGCATTCTTTTCTTAGAACACTTCCGCTTGCACTTTTCCAAGTGCTGCTTCTCAATTTGACTGAGATGACCTTAGAATTGTAAAATTGTCCAGAACTGATCAATGTGCTCGTTTACTTGGTTGACATTTATTCAGGTTTGAAGTTATTTAGGCTTTTACTATGGCCTACTTTGAAATTCCATTATCTTACTCTTTTCAGCTGAAAAACATTTTTATATTAGACATATTCACTCAATTTCGTTTAAATGATGAAGGACTCGTAGTACCGCAAACTTAATTATAAAATGAGATTTTATTTAATAATTTGTTTTAAGGTTTATTGTGCATTCTGATCAAACTAATTGGATCCTCGTCTAGCCCTCCCGATGGGTGATTTTCTCTATGCCTTGCTTTGAAATTGGTAATTTAACTCAATCAATTACGTAATAATTGTGGCTTAAACTACTAACAAATGGGAGGCCTATATTGAGGTTGCTATATATAATGATGATAGGGATCTGTTTATTTTCTGTAGTCATCCTTCTCTGTCCATCATGCATTGCTATAACTGTCCCGTCCTTGCAAAGGAAATTGGGTTTTGAGGACTCTTGTGTTTTATAATTATTGATCCTAGTTCCTTTTCGAGTAAAAATGTTTG